GCCCCCGAGTAGCCATCGGTCTTGCGGGCCAGCTCCTGGATGTTGGCCTCGGTCAGGCAGTGCGGGGTGTTGCCAAGGTGCAGCTTGAACATCTGGGCCCGCGCCGCCTCCTCGGGCAGTGGGATGTAGATGCGCTTCTCAAACCTATGGGCAGAGCAGGCAGGGGGTGAGCCCCACATTGCCAGACCCTGCCAGGGCTGTGGGGATGGAGCTGGGGGGCAGTTGGGTCCTGCTCACCTTCTCCTGATGGCCGAGTCCAGCACCCAGGGGATGTTGGTGGCGCCCAGCACCAGGATCCCATCGCTGCTGTTCCCTACGCCTGCATAGGAACACAGTACAGACAGCTCAGAGTGATCCCCAAAGAACCATATGTGGGATTCAGGCACTCTGCAGCTTCTCCCATGCCTGCCCATCCTGTTCCCCCCTCTCCCTGTTTTCCCCACACATACCCTGCATCTGCACCAGGAATTCTGTCTTGATGCGCCGGGCTGCCTCGCTCTCATTCTCATTGCGTGAGCCACACAGTGAGTCCACCTCATCAATGAAGATGATGGAGGGCTTGTGCTGCCTTGCCAGCTCAAAGAGGTTCTTCACCAGCCTTGGAACAGAGCAGGGAATGGGGTCCTCACTCAGGGACCATGCACAGCATCGATCACACAGAGAGCCCGTGACAGCCCCAGGGCGAGGACCCCCAAACACCTCCTGCCCGCCCTGGGAACCCCACACTGGCAGCGAGGCAAGCACCATGTCGGGAGAAGGACCATCCCCTGTGGAGCTGCGTTCAGTGCCTGTGCTCTCCTCTGGGGCCCATTATCTGCATTAACGGGGCCCCAGCCAAGCTCCAGTGGGGAGGCTGGGAGCCAGCCCACAGCAGCTGCATGTCCCTGCTGCCAGCTTACTTCTCACTCTCTCCCAGCCACTTCGACATCAGGTCAGAGGACGACACAGAGAAGAAGGTGGAGTTGTTGGCCTCAGTGGCCACGGCCTTGGCCAAGTAGGACTTGCCGGTTCCAGGGGGGCCGAAGAGCAAGATCCCTCGCCAGGGTGTGCGCTTCCCTGCGACAGAGGCCAGTGTCACAACTCCTCCATCCCTGCACAGGCTGGATCCGTGTGGACCCGCAGGGACTCACGTTCCCACTGCCTGGGGTCACATCCCAGCACGCACTTGCCCCATTTGGTGCCCCACAGCACCTCCTCCATGGGTGAGCAGCAGCCACAGCACTGCCATGCCTCTCACCAGTAAACAAGTGCGGGAACTTGATGGGCAGGATCACGGCTTCCTTCAGGGCCTCCTTGGCTCCCTCCAGGCCGGCCACGTCACTCCACCGCACGTTGGGCTTCTCCATCATGATGGCACCTGCGAGAGTACACCTTGCTCCCGACATCTGCTGAAAGCTGGGAGAGCCAGTCCTCATCCCACCTCTCTGCCCCACCAAACCCTTCCACTCACACCAACCCCACCATTGCTCAGCACAGAGGCTGGTTTTGGGGCTACCTTACCCCAGCAACACACCCCTGGTCCCCAGTCCCACAGCCTGCCTCCCTCCCCACAGTCACCTCTCGTGATGGTTCACGTTCAGGAACCCCTCTGCTGACCCTGCAGCCAGCCAGCACGACCATACCCACTGCGCCCAGCACAGCTCCTCACCCATCAGCTGCTCCTGCAGCTTCTTATTCTCAGGGTTCTCGCCCTCGCTGTCACTGTCACTCCTGGGGAGAGGGGACATGGGTCAGGAGCAGGTCTGGCCCTGGTGTGGCCGGTCGGGGGGTCCCTGCACCCCCACGCACCCCTTGTTGTCATTCTGGGACTCCTTGACCGGCTTCTTGCCCTGCTTGTCCTTGCTGCGCAGGTATTCCTTCAGCTTCTCCGCCCGATCCAGGTACTGCACGCACTTGGCTCGGATGCTCTCCTTCGCCTTGTCACTGTGAGCCTCATCTGCAGAGACCCCCAAGGGTCACCCGCGGCCCCGCTTCCCCCCGCCCGGAC